AGATCCGTTTATTTAATAAATGGACGAGTAGTATTTATCAAATTTGGGATCCCACCTCTAAATTACACTAATTTAATTTGATTGATATGTACTAATATAAGTTTGTATGATGAACTTTGATCATGTTATTTGTATGATCAAAATAATTACATGGCCAAAAATAAAATTTATATGGTCATCTTTAATTATGTCAGAACACTGCGTGTTTTTCCCTTCAATTATAGGAACACGTCAACCAAAATGTACTTTTAGATAATGGGACGAATGGATTGGATGTGGAAATTTCTGGTGGGCTTGGTCATGTTGTTGGGCCGGTTCGTTCATGAATGGCGTTCGGTTGGTGCAAATTTTTGATGGGTGTGCCGAGGGAAAAATTATCTCCTAAATGGAAAGGTGACCGAAAATGTGGGTGAATTGGGTTGTTGAGTTTACCGTGTAATTTGTTGATACCGAAAATTTGTTTCATTGAAGGAAACATGTGACAAAAATGATCAGTTTATTAGTTGCCAGACCTAATCAACCATATCCCTTCCTGGTGAGCATGAGTTTGAGTACCCTAGGAAAAGACACAGTAGTTTAAGGAGCTAATTTATAGGAAGGTATAACTAGAATATTTTATAATTAATTATATAAACAGAAATAATGAAAGAATAATCTAATAAACAGTAATAAAGTAAAAAATAGGGGCATAAATTTAAATTCTGGATTTTTCAGTTCTAACTCGTCTCTGGTTCAAGAGGGTGGTAAAAAAACAAAAAAGTAAGTTACATATCTTACAAGTTGAAAACAGATTGGTACTATTTAGCATCAATGGACTAAAATGACAGTCCTACTCTTAGGTCAAGAAATAAAAATGTTCCCATCTTTTCAGTTGGTGTAGGTATCCAACAATCTATAATGACGAAATGGCAAGAGCAGAAAAATGAAATTTCCATCGATGAGGCTTTAGGTTCCTTCCTGGCTTACAAACTCAAACCAGGCCCATCTTGCGCATCATCATTGAGTAACCATCTGAACTTTAGAATCATGTGAAGACGAGCAATTGGTTTTACTTGCTTTCTTGGAGCTTGATTTGGATCTATCATATATTTTCTAGCGGCAACGAGAAATCCAAGCATAGAACCACTGGTGCAGCTTCTGCGATTAGAAATCTAGGCAGAGTACTTAGCACACGCAATTGATCAGTCCTTTATCTTGTATGGTCTTTCCCTTTGTTCTTTCTTTTACATGCTTCAGAACAACTTCAAAATGTTCAGAAGCATCCTCCATATTTGTGACACATACCTGGAAGAGGGAAAAAGGTAATTGACATTCAAGTACACATGACATAACAAAATAGTGAATAAACAAGCAAAACCCAATGGGCAATGAAACATTTCCATTTTCATGAAACATTCATACTATACCTTACAGAACAATATCTGTTTCAAAGTCACCATTCTTGTCCCTAACTCTGGGGAAGTCAATCAAGAGAATCCTTTTTGTGAGTGTTATGCATTGCCACACCAAAGTTCCAATAGGAGCAACTTTACAAACTTTGAAAGCAAACAATTTTATTAGTTGAACTAAACCACTGATCTTAAAAATAAAGTAGATAAATGATGCTTAAAACATAACTGTTGTTCAAAAATCATCACATTGCAGTACACTCTGTTGGCTACAATTTTGAGAAACACACATGATACTACACCTAAGGCATCTAGAGAAATCAGATTTTCTATCGAAGTTCTCAATTTTAAAGGAGGTAAAAGCATTTCAGACAGGGTTTGGAACATAGTGATATTTGTATGCAGTAACATGTATGAGCTTATGTATTGCTTCAACATTCAAGGGCGCAGAAACACAAATTATCAAAAGTGATGGAACAAAAGAAGCCATAAAGAGGAAGCACATCGCAAGCTAACATATTTGGCTATTTGCTGAGTGAATACAAGTTATAATCTAAAAGAGTAGACATGTTTTGCCATAGAGTATATAACTTAGGATAGATGTGTAAAATAGAATAATACGACATTCTAATGTTCTATATTCAAATGCAAGTTGTGGAGGTTCCTAGTACTTTCCATAGAGATGGCCCTTCATACCTGGCCAAAAAACTTATTGATGCTTGTATGGAGTGCTAGTGTTGGGTATTCCCCGATAATGTTCTAAGCGATCCCTTTGTAGCCCACAGGAACAAGATCACACTGAAAAAAGGGGGACTGCAAGTGTTCATAAGTAGTCTTATTTAGCCTTAAAAACACACCTAGAAAAAGAAACAGACCTTGTTTAACCAAAGAATCATGTTTCTATGCTAGCAGTTTTCTTTCCAACGCTTCTCTAGATGATGGCATCTTGTACCTTGTTGGTCCCTAGCATCCAAAACATGTAATAAAAATGATAAATAAAGAATGGACTGACACAAGGATTCCTTTCAATCCTCATCACATTTGAAAAGCTAGGAGGGCGGAAGCTATGCATTCAACATTGTGAAATAAATTAATCTAAATTCATAAGCAGTAGTGCTAGGCCTAGCCGAAATACATATGATGTATATCATCCTATTGTCCCCTGATGAATGCAAGCAAATTCCCAACTAAAAGATAGTGTCTTAAATGGAAAGGCTAAAACGAAAACAGTTGAATGCTACTTCTGTTGAGTCCTCAGATACCAAAAGGAGACACATTGACCTGGGGACAACATCAGAGGAGACAATAACTTCTGTTGAATGCTACTTCTGTTGAGTCCTTCTCAAACAAGACATGCCAAACTAGAGATCCTTGAATCCATCTCCTTCACTTCCCTCCACTGAGCTAGAGGCACCATACTTCTGCTTGAATGAGACCAAATGAAATGAGGACTTGAAAATGGGAGGACTTGGTAAAGATGAAAACACACCAACCTCAGGCTGCATTATGCCTTACCTCAGTCTATTGACAAATAGCTGTGCAGTAATCCAGATAGACAACCATACTTTAGAGCATCAAATTCTAGGAGGAAGGAAGTAATCTTTGCATCTTAACCCTAGATTAACCCTGCCAGTAAAAGATAAAATTAATCGAAACCCATTTTGATAAGTTTAATTAACAAAAAGGCTCAACCACAACCACTAAAAGGTAACCCAAATGCCAGAGACAAGTGATATTAAATAATAGACCCTATCCGTGCACCTAAAAACACACAAAGATTCTACCAATTTTACTATGAATCAAATGCATCAGTGATATTAGCAGTTATACGTGTCCCAACACTAGGATGTCGAACATAAAGATTTGTATGATCAGAATAATTACATGCCCAAAAACAAATTTGTACGGTGATCTTTAATCATGTTAGAACACTGCATATCTCCCTTCAATTATACACATCAACCAAAATGCACTTTTTGCAATCTATCTGAGGTAAGTTCGCATCAGAAAAAATTCGCACCTTATCTAGGATTATGCAAACCATTATATGGTATCAATTGAAGTCTCAGAAGTAAAACAAGAACAGAAGTATTTCAGTATATCAACAACTAAATTATCAAAATTAAATGCTTTAATTAGCTTCCCTGTTTCTCTTGCATCCAACCAAACACATAAACTTGTCTCAAGGAAGGAGTATCTAATAAAAACATAAGGCTGTCAATTGTGGAAGAAAGTACATGGACTTTAATCAGTTACCTTTAAGACAAGCTCGTCATAGCATTGTTCTACATTCACTTGAGATATTGCATTGCACTATGTCATGAGGCATCAATATTCCCGACCCAAACTACTTCACTTTGCTGTGAAAGATCACTGATAATTGAATTCCATGCATAAAATAATGCTCAAGAGTTATTATCCATAACATCAAATGGCCCAATGAGAAAGTTTCAGATGAACTAGAAATTAAATTGCTAACTGGAGCAAAATGAAACTTGGATACAAACATTAGTCAAACTAAAGGGAAAAATTCACTACTTCTTGAATCAAATACATTATCAACTTTGTTTCTAATAAGCATCTTGATAGATTTGCAAATGTTTCCCGCTGTGTAACATCATATACTATCTCAATACCACAAGTAAAACTGCATTAAAATAAATTAACAGCCTCTAAGCACCATTAGCAAGTCCTCACGTTTCAACTCAAAAAAGGAAAAAAGGACTGAAAATGAAAGGCAAAATCGAAACAATTAAAAAAAAAAAAAGGACAAAGGAAGTTCTCAAGCTCTTACATAGTATACTGTATCAATACCCCCAAAAAAATACTGCATCAGCATAACAGCCTTTAAGCAAAGTTAGCAAGTCATCTAGCAAGAGTACTCAAATGTAACCAACCAAGCAGTCACCTTTAGAAATTTGGTCACTCTTTTCATGGCCAAAGCATATATCTTTAAGAGCAAATATAGAGACTACTGAAACTAGGAATCAAATTTGAGGTAGGGCAGCAAGAGCTGGAAATGAATGGCAAAACTGTAACAATTAGGGAAAAGTTAAAAAGGACAAAGAAAGCTCTAAAGGTTCCCTCTGCAGCTGTCTCAGTACATATGCAACTATGGCAACATGATTTGACTAAAGCCCCTAAGGTAAGCAACAGGCAGCACACATGTAATGGATGATTCATAGTTACACTATTAAATTTTTTAAATAAGTAAACGTAAAAAGAGACATACTTCACATCATATCCTATTTGAGGAATACAGTCACGTTCATGCATGCCTACGTCAGTAAATTTATAGTGTTAAATGTATGAGGAAAAGGTCTTTTGAGTCCACAACCACTGGTTTATGTAACAGAAATCACCGATGCATGGTCGACCTGTTTTAGAAATCAAAACCGGACTACATTAGAATATATAAACAACTAAACCATCCAGTAAGCTTCCATACTTCTTTTGCATCCAAACAACAAATAAACTTGTCTCAAGGGAAGGAGTATCTAATAAACATATACACTTGTTTCTGGACATAACCCTTTCACTTTCCTGTTAAGATCACCAATGTGAGTGGTACCATTAAATTCCATGTATAAAATAACGCTTAAGAATCATTTTCCGTAATATCAAATAGCTCCATTAGAAAGTATCAGATGAACTTGAGATTAAATTGCTGACTGGAGCAAAATGAAACATGGAAACAAACAATATTGGTCAACTTTGTTTCCAACAAGTACCTTGATGCAGTCCTGATTATTTGTTAAATATAGATAAATATATTTAGCCCATAAATCAGATAGATTTGTGAATTTTTCCCATTGAGTTC